AGTTCTCACTGTTAATTCTACTTTCTTACTGGTTTTCTCTTTTATTTTTTGGATCTTTTTGAGACAGGGTCTCCCTGTAGCCCCAGCTGGCCTGGAACTCACTACATAGACCAGGCTGGCCTTGAATCTCACAGAGATTTACCTACCTCTGTCTCCTGAGTGCTGGGATTAAAGGCATATGCCACCACACCCAGGTCTCTTACTGGTTACTTAAACTCCATATTACATGACAATTTTTATAAGGCAAAAAGACCATAGTGCCTTGGCTAACATAATTATTCTTTATAAAATATTTTAGATATTAATTACCAGTGTTCTAAGGAACATGAGAAATTAGTGTTTTAAGAAACTACCATGTATGATGGTACAAACTTCAGTGACCCAGATACTGATGAAGCTGAGGCAGGAGTATTATGGACAATATAATGAAATGAGATGAGATGAGATAAAATTGTGTGTGTCTGTGTGTCTGTGTGTGTGACAGAGACAGAGAAAGATTATAATGAACATTGGCCAGAGTACCTTTAAATTTCAAATGAAGAAACCAGAAACTTATTAAGTGATTTCCTAAGTTCTTGAAGCATTAACTCCCAACCTGTTTAGTTCTTATTTTTTTTTATTAGGTACGTTTGTTCTGTGAAGTAATTGTTGCAGTTCGTGTATGTACTACTGAAGAAAAGGGTGTATGAGAGGCAAAGTGTTGGCCTGCTGAGGGACCAGGGAAAGTACTGGCCAAAAACAAGTGTCCATTACATGCCTAAGAGCTTCTAAGAGTAGAAGTCTTTCTTCACATCGATAGTACAGATGAGTATAATTTAAGGCATAGGAGCTGACAGCCAAAGGAAAACAAAGTGGGTGAGATGGCGGTTGGGATAGATAAACTGTAGACAAACTGAAGGCCAGTGTTAGTAAGGACTGGCATGCCATATCTGTTTATAGTTACAGAATATTTACATTGGGACTACATAATCTGTCCTTTTCTAAAAAGATATACATATGGAAACAGAATTATTAGACAAGAGGAAAATAACTACTCCTTTGTAGGATGACTTCATATGTAGAAAAAGGTAACAGGAAATGCAATAATATGGAGGTGATTGGAGACCTCTGAGCCAGCTTTACCAATTAATTTTGTTACTTATTCTTGGAGCTTATACTTAGAAGGAGAGAGACAGAAACACAAACTAGGTTTTTGGGAGGTTGATCTTTACTTAAGAAGGAGACAGATAATTAAGATTTTTTTATTCTTTACTTCCTCCTGGATTCCTGCAATCGGACATAATGAGATTCATTCTGAATTTCCAAAAAATCAGCCCCAATGATGTTTGTAACTGAATTCAGCCTTTTGAGCTAAAAATTTATAATAGCCTTTTTCACCAACAAAAATGAGTATCTATAGAGAGACATGATCAATTTTATTTCTATGC